TCCCTCACTACTTAGCTTTATAAAGTAATAAAGCAAAATCCAAGCAAGCTCAGTAACCTAATGGTGTTGGGCAACAATATCATAATATCGTGTTGGACAACAAAATCATAGCAACCTACAGAGGTAGAAAGGCCTTTTCTTATTTATAGAGGGATAAGGCAATTTGAAAAGATTATTTATTCATCCTCAAAGTCCACAAAATGTTATTGCTTTGCCTCATGGTGGAATCACTGTACTTTGAATGTACACAGGATAATAAAACCTGACACTAAGCTATTATACACCTCCAAGCTCAGATTTATGCCTGCTTCTGAAGTCATTTGCATTGAAGAAGCTAAGGGCAACAAGAATATGATCTGCAAAGTTCAGAAGATGGTAAGAACTTGGCTTCAAATATTTTTTCTTATTCTGTACTTTGATCTTTATGCAGAACTTCCACTGACATCAAAAGTAGTTCTGTACATGGATCAGAAAGGAAAATTTTTGCACAGTAATGGATATTGTGATATTCAGCTGTGAATACTTAAGCTATCGTCTGTTTTGAAACTTGCTAGGTTTCACATTTTCATCAGGCTGATTTATACCTGCAATTGGTGGTAACAATCTTGGCTTCTTTTCTCTCCTCTTTTTGAGATAGGGGTCACATGATGAATTTTTAGAGGTGAAAACTGACAGCACAGTATTAATTTGGACAAAGTGCACATAACACTGGATTATGTTTGTATCTGTTCTGGCAAGAAATGGGAACACTTGAATACAGTATGGGAGCACACACAGCTCAGACGCAAAGTAGCACCGTACTTGGGAAGTTAATGCTTCAATACAAACACTACCATTAATTAAGCCATATCACAGTTCATGAAAAAATGTGCATCCCATTCTTACAAACTTACTGGAGAAAAAATACCACAAACAACAGGTATTTTGCACATACTAAGACTCAAATAGGTTTTAATTAAATTGGGGTTTACAGTTGCTGTAATTAGAAGTTGAAGTACAGTAGACATGTATTTGGAGTGTTTTTTATTGTAATAGTTTACTACACATTTGTTTAATTGAAGAAAAAAGCAGAAATGTGTTGCTTTATTGTGGGTTTTATTAAATCAATTATTAAACTTCACATTGTTGTCTTATAAAATATTTATTTGCATTGCTGTCTCTTATCATCATCTTGGATTCTTATAGCAGCTGTTTTTTGAAGTGTCTGAACACTCAAGCTTAACTCAGTTTGGAGATGCTATATATAGAATGAATTATGTCTCCCTCTTCAGTCAGAACAATTTAAGTCTTGTTATTTCCCGTGCAATAATTGCACTTTAGAAAATATAAGCTGACAAAGCATGGTGAAGGAGCAGCCATAAAACAACTGGCAGAACATTCTTGAAACCCTACATTCACCCTTGAGGGGCCCTTGTTATCAAGGCCTACAGACTGGAAGGAGTTCAGAGAAAAAGCAACAGAAGATGAAATGAGAATCAAGAATAAGAGAATGAATGCATCTATCTCAGGGAGGCTCTGAAGTGCACATGCCCTTGTTTTAAGGGCTAACTAAACTCACATGGAAATTTCTATCTGTGTGGTCTACCTCTAATCCTTTTCGTATCCTTTATGAATTATTCAGGGCACAGGTTGTCTGACACTGCTATGTTTAATGTAAGAATCCAGTATTCTTCCGAATCCGCTATTAATCAACATCAAAAGGAATATGCATATTAGCACTTACAATACTCCTAGTGATGGAATAAATGAGCACAACAGAACTATAAAAATAACCAAGTAGAAATAATTACTACGCTTACTTATAAGGATAGAGAAATACTCGGAAAATAACACTGATTTGCAGATAAACTACCAGGAATTTATGACCTAATACACAGTAACAGTAGTCAGGAAGTGCAAGTGCCTATAAAAGAAGACAAGTTACTTTTATAGACATTGCAAGGTCATTTTCAGTATCAGCTTAGAGGAAAGGGGCCTTAGTATAAATAAGAATCAGGTCTAATGTCTTTCCAAGCAGCTCTCCAGCACATCCAGATTATTTCATTTACACGCTCTGTCCTGGTTTCAGCTGGGATGGAGTTAATTTTTTTTCCTACTAGCTGGTATAGTGCTGTGTTTTGGATTTAGTACGAGAATAATGTTAATAACACACTGATGTTTTAGTTGTTGGTAAGTAGTGCTGACACTAGTCAAGAACTTTTCAGCTTCCCATGCTCTGCTAGGTGCACAAGAAGCTGGGAGGGGGCACAGCCAGGCCAGCTGACCCAAACTGGCCAAAGGGTTATTCTGTGCCATATGATGCCATGCTCAGTATAGAAACTGGGGCGGGGAGTGGGCTGGGGGGCTGCGAGTGCTGCTCGGGGACCGGCTGGGCATCAGTCAGTGGGTGGTGAGCAATTGCATTGTGCATCATTTGCTTTGTATATTGTTTTATCATTATTACTTTCTCTTCCTCTGCTGTCCTATTAAACTGCCTTTGTCTCAACCCGTGGGTTTTACTTTTTTCCCCAATTCTCTCCCCTATCCCACTGTGGGGGGGGGGAGGGGGAGGGAGCAGCTGTGTGGTGTGTAGTTGCCCACTGGGGTTAAAGCACGACACACTCTCACACTACTCTTTTCCTTCTACAAAATCCTCTGCTTGAAATTAAAATGCATTTACTTAATGGGATTTCTCTCTCACCAAGAGACTCATAAGAGTCGAGCAAGTTTCCACAGCTAGTGTCCCTGCTTTCCAGAGCTGTGCCGCAATACCCTTGATGACTGAACAGCTAAAATCCTGTGAAAATTCTGCCATGTCTAACAGTCTTAAATTGGGAAGAGATTTTTCCTTTCTTAATCTGTGATTGTCAACCATCTTTTTCTGAAGCATGGATATGGCTTTGATGACAACCTACTCATATGAGTTAATAAAGCATTTTTACATCGAGCAGACTGCAAACCCTTGCATCCCACTCTTCTATTCTGAAAAGTTCTTACGCTAAGAAGAAAATTAACAGAAACCTATTTCTGAATGTTTTCCTTGCTTAATTTTGTGAGGGTTTTTTGTTTGTTTTGTTTTTTAAATTGTGTTGACATTTAGTCCTTTCAATACCAGCAACATTTCTTTCTACTCCAGCAGAATTACCATTTAAAATATCATACCTGAATCTGGTCTTCAATTATTTTACTACTGTACATAGCTGCTATTTCTTGCAGAATCACTCCCAATTGACAGAATGACTAAGAAAAGCATCAGGCTGGCATTTAGAAGTAGCTTTCTGACATAAACCCAAAAAACCCAAAAGACACCCACCAACTAAAGAGTAGCAAGTCTTTTGTTCAGGTATTTTGGCAGAATCTCATGAGGATGCTGCAGTGATGCTGCATAGAGCAGGCCTGTTAAGTATTATTTCTCTCTACAGATACTAAAAGAATATTTTAAATGTAGATAGGCTGCTGGGTAATTAATTAAACATGATATGTACTGCAGTAGCTTCCTAGACTCCAATAAGCTAGTCCATTTTCAGAGAAGTTCCCTTGAGATCTCAAGGGGAGGGGCCAATCCACTGTAAACACCCAGCTCATTTTCCTCTATCCATCCAAAATGGCATCGCCAAGATCTTTTTTCTTGCTGGTTGCTCCAAGCACATTCAGTTGTTCCAGAAGTTAGCACATATACCTCAAACATCATGTTTCATCGGCACTTTGCATTATGCCACCGCTTTCTGTTTCTCTCACTTTGTTTTCTTGCAATACTCTACCCTCTCCACAGCTTCACTAATAATGCCCAGCTTGCACCCTGTGTACCTGCTGCGTACGTGGTCACTGGGAGCTTCTCATGCAGCACCCCCCAAATGACTTGTGAGGCCTGTTCTATCCAAATACATGCTTGCCCAAAGCCCGTTTCCTCTTTGA